TATATATATATAAAATGAGACTTGAGTGTGAAGTGATTAGTTACGTTTAAGTTTAAATGATACTATTTTGAAGAAGCGTTTTTCTTCGATCTTATGCTAAACGTTATAGCTAAAAGTGACATCGGAGAGTACCATGTGTTTCTGAAGCTGATGTTTCTAATATCCTACTCGACAGCTAGACGTTATTATCAAAAAAACAAGAAGAAAAAATGATAATCATCGCTTAATCAACAACACGGAATCGGTCGGAGGCTCGAAAGGTTCGTAGGCGTAAATTGAAAATTAAATCGCAGTAACTGGCTTTAATATGCCCCACAGCGTGGGGTATGAGCGAATATTGCAGTAAATCTGTTACTACTATAAATGAAGAGGTTATCAACTTAACTTCGAAACGATACGGTAATGCAGTTTATGATGCACAAATATTGCACATGTACTTACCTATAATTTTGCGTTCGATCTGCTTCTATGGGCAGATTACTTATATTCTGTGTGAGAACTTATGCTTCATCGTATTCGGTGTTTCTTTCCTAGGATCAACATAACTTCTTGATAAAGGTCGTTTTCTGTTGTGAAACTAGTGTTGACCAAGCGATAATGCGGGGGTAGAAACGTCGTTCACAGCAGCGGGTCAACTTTAATTTGGCTTTTCGCTGCTTGTGCCGTTGTTCCGCAACAGCAGATAACGAACAATGAAAAACCCGACGAAAGTGGGCAAATATATCGTTCGTTTGAAATGGTCATCGTTGTTTGGTGATTACAGATGGCTCGTGGTCCACCTTTTTGAGTTGCTGCAGTATCAGGCCTTAATAACGTTGCCGACATTGGCACAATTCTCACACACGGAAGATACTGTTGGACGAGCAGTCTCTAGTCCTCTTGCCAAAACAGTAATAACAAGTAGTTGCCACCCCGAATTAGCAGTTGATCCTGTAAAATGTCGGAATACGAGCTCAAAATTAGATACTCATTCAATGTGTCCAATTATTCACTGAGGAGAACACTCCAATCCGTTGTTTGTCGATTAACGCCATCGGACTCAGCCGTTAACATCTGATTTCATGACCGCCACGCATGTTTACGTTTGACTATATTTCTGCGTAAATCTCTTAAACGACCCTGAAACAAGTGAAAATGCAAACATAGTTTTATAAAAATAATATAACAGGCTTTTTTCCCTTCTGGCGAGCATCGCCTTGCCATGCCTGCATTGCGATCTGGTCAACCTGGCAGTCCCTGCTAGTTAGTCGAAACCGCTGACGTCAAAAAGTTCCACAATACTTTCCGTTCAATTAAACGTTTCTTTTTCTGAACGATCAAAAATTGGATACAAACGAAAACAAGCTTCGACGTATTTGTCACTTATGTCCTACTACTAGCAAAGGTACGAAAAATAGCTTTGATTGCGCTTGCCAGTCATGCGTTTGACTGATTAGTGAGTTGCTAAATACGTCGAGCGAACGTAGATTACAGCTTTCATTACGTAAATAGCGTACGTAGCACTACGCTACACTTATTATGTACAGCTATGTTGCGTCACCAATATTCGATGCCTCACGGTCATCAATCGTAACGACGTACGGTTATAATGCGACAACGATAAAAATGCCCAGCGGGCAATTTTCCTATTTTCTATCGCTTCCAGCCGGTGGGTGTTGGCGCCTTTGTTTGTTTGTGCTTCCGTTATTCTGACGCTTAGAACAATAACAGTTTCTGAGAACAGTATTTCTGAATGTTTTGTACACGTGCCTTCTTAGTTCGTGAAGCGTTAGAAAAATGCTGGGCGATACTTGAGTGTCGAAAATTAGTATACGCTCTATCCTCTCCTGTTTTTAGCGTCTGATCGAGTAATACAGTGGAGCTTTGTAGAGCATCATACTGTTTTATCCGTTGAGGGATGCACTTATGATTTTTCTCTGTGCATAAAAAATATGTTTAAACACTTCGGGTCCAAGATAAGAGCATCTTTGTCCAAGCGCTCCGTCCCTTCGAGATTCAGTTCCCCGTTGCCCTATCTGAGGATTTTCGAGTTGTCACTACAGAACCTGAAAGTGGCGCCTTGAAACGCAGACATCTGCGATCTCTGGTGAAGGATAGAGGTAAGCCTCCCGTTAGGTCGGTCTGAGCAAGCAGATTCTCTAGTTTGTGCTCTTAACAGTGTCAATCATGGATCGCTAATCGCTGCCAACACCTTGAGGGCCAACAGCTGAAACAGGAGTACGTAGAAGATCGTGTCCTGTCGATTTACCTATTTGCCCGTTTCTATATCTCCTATATATTGATACACGTTATCCAAAACAACGTCACGCATCTGGCTCGTTGCATGTGTTTGCTTACGGTAAGACGACGTAACGTCGGTTATCAGGGTAGTCGTAGTAATGTCGCCTCACCACTGATAATTACAACTCAAATTGTACCTTTATCGAGATATGTCTATTCGTTTCGCAGGCAGTTTCTCCATAGCTCTCTCTTCTTTCTCGCTTCCCCTTTCTACCCAAGCAACCGTTCGACACGTTACCTTGTTGAACCTAACGCGTTTTAGCTACCCTATTTCTTTTTCTGTACAGGGTGTCGTAAGTGTTGAGATCGCCTAGGTATTAAATGATGCACTGATTCGTTGCGTCAACGTTTTCACTGCTATTAGCCAACTACCTCTATCTGTGATAGCTCTGTGACAGGTAACCAGTCAAGGTCGCGTATTAATTCGAAATACAATCGTTGTATTCGGCGGAATCTGTTCACAGTTTACTAAACCGCGTCAGCCCGTAGCTTTACCCACCTTTTTCCCGTCGGCTAGCCTATCTGATATGCTTTTCTCGACTGTCTGCTGCTAGAGTTTTTGTCCACGATCACTATTTGCTCCCGCCACGTGGTTTCCCCTTCCACTCAGCCGTTTGTCTTCTTGCGCACTGCGATCGCGGTTATAAATACGGTTTGTTTCGGTGACCTTGAGATTTCGATCTGAAGTCTGAAAGCGCAAGTGAAGCAAACACTCCGATTTATGTTTTTCTATTCGCTGATGAATGGCAGCAGTAGCAACCGAGCGAGTGCTATTGTTCCGGCAGCAACTGCTTTCCACCACATCAAGCACAAGCACTAACCGTACCTCATCTTTTGTGCAGGAACAAGTATTAATAATAATGGACTCGACTTATTTTCGCTCTATACAAAAGCAGGCAGGCAGGCAGGCAGGCAGGCATCGGTCCTGCACTGATGCAATAAGAATCCTGGTTATCATTACCTTTGCCAGTCAGTAATGCTGGCTTTGAAGGCGTATAGTAGCGTCATGTAGGCCGCTTTGTTTCTACTCACTGTACACGTACTGTTATGGCAACCGCACGTAGAGTAGCATTTATACACAACCAAAGTTTGACTGCCGATTTCCAACTACTGATGGCTTTTTGCCTATAAACAGGAGAGTGAAGGAAAGAATTGCGAACGCCGTCCCGGTAGCCGCTTACAATGGATACATCGGACCGATGTACTACGCTATTCGACACACACTAATACATCGCAATGGTTCTCGCCGCACATGATGATGAAATTCTTATAGGGGATTGGAAAAAAGCGACAAAAAGGAGAGTTCTTAACGGCGGGCAAATGGTCCACAGGCCTACAGTACGCTGCGTATTAGCAATAGGAACATTGGTTGCATTCAGATCAAAGGTGATCTACATTGTTCCTTGCGAATCAATAGATCGGGCTTGTATAGTTTGAACGGCTATAGACAGGAAACAGCAGGAATTAGGTAAATGATAATGTTCGATTTCCTTCATTCGAACCACTTCTCGACTAGAACAAATACTACCCATTGTATGGACGATAGCTCTTATTGATCTTGGCGTTCTTTCTCTAAAAATACCTGCCTGATTGTTTTTGAGGAATATATATAGTCGTTACATAAGATTGAATCCTTATTGATATGGAACCCCAAAGATCATCACTCGAATACACTTATCCGTAAAATCGAAGGCCTTGGACATTGTCCCAGGAGCGTGCCAGAATCAAAGATTTTGCCGATAGTTTTATTCTGCCCTGCAAACATTTAAAAAATGTTGGAAACGGCGACTGCTAATGATTCCCATCCCATTAGACAACTAAATCAGAACGAAGAGAACTGCACGTCATTGTCTTCGTTCTGATTTAGTGTCTAGCAGAGCAAATCGACTTTGAATGTCACCGGCGCCTAATTGTGCTTAACATGCTCAACACACAAATAGACAAATGCAAGGACAAACAGGCACACACCCAGTCAAGGACAGTAATCCGTACAGTTTCCACTGGCGGCGCTGCTGTCGCCGCCGTTATACCCAGTATCATCTACGACGCACACGACGAACCAATGAGAACCGTAGCCAATGAAGAAACTGACAATGGCCTTGGCAATTAACCAGTCGAGCTTTGCTGACAATAGCGGTGATACAGAAAATTGTGTCCTGAAACAAAAAGGCTAAAAAATAATATTCGGTACAAGCTTGTTGTCGAGAATTCTGCATTGACTTGCTTAGTCAGGATGATCGTGGCTGTGACGGCCGATAAGCCTCAGTGTTTTGCGGTTAGTCCTTTTGCGTAATTGCGTAGCGTCCCTATCAGCGATAGACGGCACAGGGTAACGATGAATAATAAACAAGCAATAAAATAGCATAAGGCGAACGAACTAAAAAGAAAATGGACGACGGAGGTAAAATCAGAGTGGTGAAAATCTGTACACGTCTATGGCTATTATTATTGTTTGGTAATGACAGCTACAGTTGTCAGATCTTCTGCATTGCTGAGACTCGCCGAAAACAGTCAAGCAAATAGTAGGAAAGTCCAGAA